CCGCGGGGTGGCTGGTCTCGCCACGTCGGAGGGCCTCGGGCCTTGGGTGGCAGACTTGCTGGGTCTCGCCGCCGGTCTGGCCATCGTGCTGGCGCTGCTGGGCCTGCTCCGCCGGGCCTTGGTGCCGGCCGCCTCGCGTGCCTGGATCGCTGACGTCTGGCAAAAACTCAACCGTCGCCGGAAGGGCCCCACACCATGAAGCTCACCCTGCCGCTGCGCCGCGAGGCACCCGGCCTGCCCCCGCTGTATGCCGCGCCTGCCAATGGCGGCCGTGTCGCATCGGTCATGGTCGCGCTGGTGGGCTTGTTCCTCGCGGCCTTCTTCGGCCTGGCGTCGGCCGTGCTGCCGTGGCAGTTCATGGTCGGACTCTTCGGCCTGCCGGTGCTGCTGCTGGTGGGTGCCGCGATGCCCACGGTGCTGTTCGTGGCGGCCCTGCTGCTGCTCTTCGGCATCATGCCGGAGTTCATCATGGCGGCCCTGCCCCTGGGCGGTGCCACCTTGCGGCCGGCCGAGCTGGTGCTTATCTTCTGCTTCGTCGTCGTGTTTGCGCGGGTGCTGCTGAACGGCATCGACCTCAAGTCGCTGCTGCGGCCCCTCGCCTGGCCGCTCGCGATCCTGGTGTGCGGCTTCATGCTCGGCATGGTCAAGGGCAAGGTCCTGTCCAACAACGCGCTGGCGCTGGCCGACGCGCGGCAATACGTCGGCTGGCTCGCTCTGCCGGTGGGGCTGTGGTTTGGCATCAAGCACCCGGGGCGTCTGGAGCGCATCGTCATTGGCGTGGCGCTGCTGGCCGCGACGCTGATGATCCTGCAGCTTGGCCTGGGCGTGCAGCTCATCTTCGGTTTCCGCGGTGCGGAGTACCTGTCCAAGGACTTCAGCGACGTGACGCGCAGCGCCATCGGCGGCGGCCTGTTTTTCCTGGGCTATGCGGCCTACCGGCTGTTCCTCCACGCCTGCGATGGCCAGCGCTGGCGCTGGACGGCGTTGCTCGGCTCGCTGATCACGATCGGTGGCATCGTGGCGAGTTTCAACCGAGCAATCTGGGCCGGTTTTGCGGTGGGCGCGCTGCTGCTTCTGATTTTCAAGCCGCGTACCCGCCGTTCCGCGTTCTTGCCGTTCGTCGTGCTGTTCACTTGCGTTTGCATCGGCGTGGCCGGCCTGCTCGTGGCCAAGCCCCGCGCCGCCGATGCCCTGATCGAGCGAGTGGTCAGTATCAAGGACGAAGGCCGACGCGGGTCGTCACTGGGGTTTCGCTTCGACGAAAACCAGCAAGCTTTGGAGGCATTGCGTCGCAGTCCTATCACGGGCATTGGCATGGGCGGTGAGTACAAGCGCGTGTACCGACAACTGTCCACAGCGGGCAGTTTCGACACGGAGATCGCGTTCATCCATAACGGGTACCTGTCGTTGTGGCTGAAGCTCGGCATCTTCGGGTTGGTGTTCCCCGTCTTTTTGTTCGCCGCGGTTTTTCGAGCGTACCGATCCGTCAAGCTCGCTGGGTCGACTCGCGCGATACCTCTTCTCGATGCCTGCGCCGTGATGATGACGACGGTGATGGTGTTCGTCAGTGCCATCACAAGCCCGGACTGGTCGCAGTCCAGCACCGTAGCTGCCTTCGCGGCTCTGCTTGCGGTGCTGTTGGGCGCTGTTGCCTCGACCAAAGCACCTCCTGCTCCTGCGGCGGCTCTACAGCCGCAGACCGTTTGACGGCGAGCGAGTTGTCGACCCTGGATATCGCGCCGTCCAGCTTTGCAGCGGCGGCTTCAAGCACCAAATGATTTCCGTTATCACCTGCACTTGGAACAGCATGGCCACGCTGCGCCAGACTGTCGACTCGGTTCTGGCCCAGCAGGGCGCGGAGTTCGAGCAAATCTTTGTGGATGGCGGCTCGACTGACGGCACCCTCGAGTACCTGCGTGGGCTGCCGCATTCGCCGCTCATCCTGGAAGGCGTGAGCGGAGGCATCGCCAAGGCGATGAATGCGGGTGCCCATGCGGCGCGGGGCGAAGTCCTGTGTCACTTGCACTCCGACGATTACTTTCTGCACGGTCGGGTGCTGCAGCGGGTGGCCCGGCATTTCGAGTCGACGCCGGCTGAGTGGCTGTTCGGTCGCATCCTCTACGACCATGACGGCGCGCTGGTGCCTGAGCCCTTCGTGGTGCCGGACTACAGCTTCGAGCGACTCGTGCGTCGCAACTTCGTGCCGCATCCGGCGAGCTTCATTCGCACGAGCGCATTTCTCGCGTTGGGTGGATTCAGCACCGAGCTGAAGTTCGCGATGGATTACGACTTCTTCCTTCGCCTCGGCCAGCGAGGGGCACCGCTCGCGCTGAAGGAGGCGCTGTCTGTGTTCCGTGTGCATGCCGGGAGCACGACAGTGAAGAACCAGCTCGCCTCTTTCGAGGAGGATCACGCGGTGCGACTCCGGTTCGCGGGCGGTTCATGGTCGGAGCGGGCGATGCATGCCGCCCGCTACCAAGTTCGCCGCCGACGGCTCCTGGCTCAACTGGCGCAGAGGTAGTCCAACGTGCGCATTCTCATCTCCGCATTCGGATTCGGGCCGGGCGAAGGTAGTGAGTCCGGCAGCGCTTGGCGCTGGGCTAACGAGCTCGCCAAGACCAACGACGTTGTACTGGTCACCGACGGGCACAACTTGCGCCGGATCGGGGCCAAAGTCGCTGAGTTGAAGCAGCCGCGCCTCACCGTTCACTACTACAGGCCTTGGTGGGTCTCGCGGCTGCGCGTCACCAGCAAGACCTCCCAGTTCATCTTTGGCCAGTGGCAGTTCGGCTTGTTGTTCTTTGCGCGGAAGCTGCATCGAGCACAGCCGTTCGACCTTTGCCACCACATCTCCTACGGCGCCTTCCGGCAGGCGTCGTGGTTGGGCTTCGTTGGCGCCCCATTCGTCTTCGGTCCCGTTGGTGGTGGTGAAGATGCCCCCTGGCGCCTCAAGCAGAGCTTGCCTCTGGGCGAAAAGGCTCGCGAATTGGCGAGGTCCTTTGTGAACAGCTTGGCCACGGCGAATCCACTCTGGCACTTGGCTTTGTCTCGCGCTGACCTGGTTTTTGCTCGGACGGAGGAAACGAAGTCGAAACTGCCCCGAGCTGTGCAAGAGCGCACGCTGGTCGCCCAGGAGACCGGCGCACCTCATGGTCAACTGCCGCTCGCTCGCGCGCCCGCGCCCGGCCAGCGGATCGAGTTGCTTTTTGCGGGACGCCTCCTTGGTTTGAAGGGTGTTCAGTTCGCGGTGCGTGCAGTGGCGGCGCTACGAGACCGGGGCGCCTCGTTGCGCCTGACCGTGATTGGCAGCGGGCCGATGTTGGAACCATTGAAGGCAACTGCTCAAGGGCTTGCGCTGACCGAGCAAGAGATCGTCTTCATCCCGTTTCTGCCGCAGCGCGAGCTGTTCGCACGGTACGCATCGGCGCATGTTTTTGTCTTCCCAAGTCTTCGCGATGCGGGGGGCAACGTGGTCCAAGAGGCGTTGTCTGCAGGCGTTCCTGTGGTGTGCCTCAAGTTGGGTGGTCCTCCCAGCTTCGTGAATGCGAGCTGTGGTGTGGTGGTGCCGGCGAGGGACGCGAAGGACGAGGCTGAGCTTGTCGACCGAATCGCCGTCGCTATCAAGTCTGTTACTGCCAGCACTGAGCACTGGCAACATCTTCATGAAGGTGCGCTGGTCCGTGCCGAGCAACTGACTTGGGAACGGCAGATACGGCATATCCAATCCGAGATACGGCGTGTGTTGCGTCTCGGTTCTGCCACTGCCGGCGGCGGTACGGAGAGTGCAGGATGAGCGACACGCCGCTCATAAGCGTCTGCGTGTGCACCTTTCAGCGGCCGGAAGGCTTGTCACGCTTGCTGGAGCATTTGCGTG